CGGTACAAGTGTATAGAGCAATGTTGAGAGACTGGCGTCGGTCGTCAAGACACAAATGGACGCGAGCGTTGTGTAGATTGCACTTGAGAAGGCGAGCACGCGAATATTGTTGGGGACGCTCCCGCTGCCAATGCACTAGTACATCAACATCAATATTGTCATGAGAAAATTGTACAGATGCATGAGCGAAGTACCGGCTGGGTGCGGTACGAGTACTCGAGGAGGAAGCCCCAAACGACGAGGAAACCAGTAAGGAGTCCGATGGTCTCATTGCGGCCGGCGCCCATATTGCTTGCGAGAATCAGCGCGATTGGGCACACTACGCTATCGGTCGTTAGTATGGTGAAATATATCATACATGTACGTGTCCGGGCCATGACGATGAAAACTGGTAGCTTGGCTGAAAACGAAAGTCCATGGTCGTCGCAAGCGGCTCGACGTGCATCTTGTGGTGCAGCGCGCCGCAGTAGAGCAAGACGAACGAGATCAGTCCGAGCGCCTACACACATTGTCTGTTGAAACAAGATGTATTTTGTACAAAAAGTAGCCAACACAAAAGTAGCCAAAGTGGTCGACGCAGTCGCAGACAATCCCGCCCGGCAACGCAACGTGCTCGACATCTATCGGGCACGTGCCGAGCCGGAGAAACGTCGCGACCATCGGAATGTACAGCAAATCCAATGCCAGCGGGTGGACAATGCGCTCAAGAAATACGTGACCTAGGCGGCAATTCACAAAAAATCTGTGTACAAGCAGCTATCAGCGTACATGGCTTGAACGGATGAAAGACCAGCATGGCGATACCACCGAAAAGGGTCATCGCCACGTTACCGGCCTACACATAGAATATGAGACACGCTACCAGCCTCTCGTCCTCGGACCTCGCCGGCAAACTGGATGCTTGAATAGATCGTCTCGAGCGCATGCAGATGTCCCGTGACGCGAAACGCTAGCTCCAGCGGCGCGACAATGAATTCGGCGGCCTCAACCCACATGGCCAAGAGTCGCACGGCGCGCTGAAAACGTTGTTGTCGCAGCGACCGGTACGTGCGCTGGGAGAGAGCGATCGCAACGCCTAAAAACGACACGTGTTCGATACCGGAACATCAGTGGATCGAAGTTGCACCCTGCGTAATGGGTTCGTGGACGCGGGTGGCGTCGCTCCGGAAAAGACCGTGGAGCGCGGCGTGGCGCCGGAGCATGCCGACACCGAGAAGCACCCAGAGGCATAAGCAAAGATAAATGGGTGCGAGACGTAGCCAGCCGTAACCGCAATCATCCCAGTGCTGCACTGCACACACGACCATGTCGTCGACTTTGCCGTCGGCAAAGCAGCGCGGGTGCATGGCCACTGAGGATAGAAAGAGCGGATGTGGGATGTCATGCGCCTACGAAAACGTTTGGCGCCAAAAATAGACAACGTGATCAATATGGCGGCACTGGTTGCGTACTGATCATTATTGTAACCGGTATGGTTCGGTTTTAATTCACATGGCTTCTTCGATCAGGAGGAAAAAGGGCGCAAGGTCTGCATTACCGCTGCACCTCGGGTGAGGCGAGGCGGGTTGCTTAGCGGAGATCGAAAACTAGAATGCTAGGCTCTTCCGACCAGTCGTTGGTTTCGCTGAGCCGCCTTCTCTTGAAAAGACCGTTTCGACTCCTTGCAGGCTCGAAACACCCATTATCGAGCCAATCGACCTGCACTTAAAGGTGATGAATCAATTGGCACGTGGAATGATCGGATGAAGCGAGACAACGACAGGGACTCGGCGGCGAAGCACCACACGTTCATACCCGCAGCTTCAATGAGAAGCAAAGGGTACTAAGAGCATCTCCATCCGACGTCCTATATCCGGTTTCGCGCCTTTGTGTAAATTCAGTTGCGCGCGCACATCACTTTGGTTTTAGCCCCATGCTATTAATAGACACTGGCACGAGTTCTTGCTCGACGACGACGACGTTCTAACGACAAAACTAGATTTCGTCCTAAAACTGAGCCGCCCTCCTGTCGGCGCCTTCAACCGAGCTGGTGCTCACCGACGCCCAAGCTCGCGCGAGCATGGCGTCTTCCTCTGATGTCCAGATCTCCCGACGGCATAATTTTGCCCCAGATATCTCGACCTATTTTTTTAAAGTTGACCGACTACCATTCCGAATTCATTTCGGATGATGATGAACGCCTTTTCCTTGTAAAATAGAGGCAATGATGCTTTTGTGGCCACATCCATCTGCAGCCCGTCGTCTACCTCCAGATCTTATCCGCGCTCTGCATGGTCGGATCCACCAAACACATCATCGATGCTACCCACAGTTTGCTCAACGCGACGCTCGACAAGGTCACACCCGTGAGTCTCTGGCTCGAGCACCCCGGGTGTGTCGACCACTTTGCCTTTGCACTCAAAGTGCAAAGTCGGACGACTGTGACCAAGTGCGCCTCCATATTGGCGCTGATCGTGGACTGTGCCAAGACGACGCAGGCACCACCGCGACGCTGGACGCCGGCAGCGATCGAGAGCGTCGAGGTGGCGCTGGCCGCCTGGCCGCCCGTGTACCGGATGAGGCTAGGCGACCGCGCCCGTGGAGCGAAAGTATGGGAGGGCCAGTGACGTCTCATCTCCTTGACGGCCGCCGTGGAACTCGACGGGCCTCAATCGTCGAGGGGCATTGAGTGTCGAGCGCACGGAGAGCGGCGTCATCGGCGCGACCACCGACCGCTGCCAGCCAAAGACCTTGCTGTTGGGCCGCAGCCGTTGTTGTCACTAGCCCCTCCACTGGTGTCGCCATCGAGTAAGAAACTGAGTTTTGCGCGGGCGGCCAGCCTTGCCCTCGGTCTCAACGCAGTGCATCCACTTCCATCTGCATCCTCTCGACGACGGGTTCAACCCATGTCGTTTGATGTGGCCGACACGCCGACGGTGGCGACGCTAGCACCGAGCTCGAGTCAGACCAAACTTACCCGTATCACGGTCCTTCCTCGCAACGGCAGCTGGACCAAGATCATGCCTACGGCAGCGTCGCCAGACAGCAATGAAACAGGTCCGCGACGAACATCGCTGACAAAACTGCGCCAAGGCACCAAGGTCAAACTCTTTGTTGCAACCGTGGCACCGACGGAGACCATGGATACAGCCGACGCCGTGCCTCGTCTGCCTGCCGCCGTGGGTGACGCGACGCCTTCGAAAGCTCCGAGAGACCAACCAACCGCGAGCGCGGCCACGGCGCTTGTCGAAAAAATGCCCTCCGTTTTGGACGGCGCCGTCAAAATGGAAGTTCTCTCGGCCGCCGAGCTGCGACGGTCCGAGCGCACGCAGTTTATTCAAATCTTGCAGCGCGCATACGAGCTCCGATCGTCGACAAAAAAAGCGCAGACCAAGCGATTTGGTGCCCGCGACGCCATCGAGCGCGCCGTCGAGCTCTACCGCTCGCCGCGCGAGTGCGCGATCCACGATTACATTGAAACGACGCTCGACCCGGCGATCCACGAATTCTTCGAGCCCTTTATGACCACACGTGCGACTCCACAGGCGTCCACGTGGATGCACCGTCTCAAGATAATGCGATGAGAAAACCGACGGGGCAACGGGGCAGCGAGGATGACCTGACTCTGTGGGTTGACTGTACTGAAAGAAATCCGATGGCATGGCGATTGATGATGCTTCTTCGTTCACAATATAAGGGCACACGCGACGCGGTTGAAAAGGGCGAATATAGGACAGGTCGCCGTCTTCATCGTATGTTCTGTCCAATCAATGCACGTCAATCTTCGTCTCGATGAGACGGGAAATGTGTACCAAGACGCGGTGATATTTCCCCTGTGCTTTAGATTGTTTGCAACCCGTCTCGCGATCTACTTCGAGCAGCTCTCAACATCCGATAGATAGATAGATAGATAGATAGATAGATAGATAGATAGATAGATAGATAGATAGATAGATAGATAGATAGATAGATAGATAGATATAGATAGATAGATATGACCTTTATTCAGATGTACAGTATATCAACCAAGGTCCCATCATGTCATGGCGATGTGTACAGGATGATACAAACGACAGGTAGTTCGTGACACGAAAAACTGAGGATTCGAAATGAGGATGTCTCCACCAACCACGCGTTGGCATTGCAAAGCTGCGCATGACGCAAGGTTGGTCAGTCTCGACTCGCTCGCTGTCGCCATCTCGAGCAAGGACCATCGGCCTCTTGCCGCCAGTCGTAGAGAATCTGAGGAACAGCAGCAATCGCAACAACTCGTTTTTGAGTATAATTTCCGATGCTCATGCCATCATCGCCTGCGTGGCATGACGAGAGTCGCTGTCATCAAAATGGCCAGCGGCGCCACCGGGGCACCGACGGGGCATCGTTTTGAAACTGGTCAAGGTACGGGTGCAGGAACGCCCGCATCGTCGGGTCGAGTGTGGTAGCGACGTACTCTTCCAGCGCACACTCGTCGGCGAGCTGCATGAGCTTGAGTGCATTCGTGACGGCGTTGTCCAGCTCGGGGCGCTTCGTGGCGATGCAGCTGCGCCGGCGATCGTTCCCTGAGGCATGCGTCGTCATCACCATCGCGAACGCCAGCTCCAATTTCAGCACAAACTGCCGTCGAATGGCTTGGCGTCGCTCGATCTCTGGCACAACGTCCAGCGGGACGTACATGGGCGTTGCCTTGGCTTTGCCCCGAACCGTGTTGACCAGCTGCCGAAACGTGAGCGCCTTTGCCATGGGCCCCGATGCACGCTTTTGGTTGCGCATTTGCATGAGCATCGAGAGACGCATTTTCATGGACGAGAGACGCGTTGACGCTGGTACGGGCTCCACCTTGCCAATGTTGTGCTTGAAGCGCGCTTTGGCTCGCTTGACGGCCAAGAGAAGGCGCGTGCTCTTGGACGGTACACCGGGGTACGACAAGTGCTGCCGCGACGCAATTTGGTGCAAGCTCAAGTACACGGCTTCGAGGAGGACGCTCACGTCGTAGGCCGCGGCCCAGCGCTGGAACGCCGTGTAGAGACTGGCGGCGGCGCGCAGTGTCAAGAGCAGCGAGAGGTTGTTGCTGCCGCGGGCGGCTGCAAAGGCCGCGACGCGCGCTGCGATCGTCGCTGCTTGATGGACACTGCGGCGGCTCGCATGGGTGAGCGCGTGGAGGAGCCCACTGAGCGCCAACGGCCGCGCGACCCACGTCTCGAGGGCAAAAACGCCGTCAAGCGTGAGACAGTAGAGTGTATGGGTCGCATCCAACACGAGCTTGGGGTCGTTGGTCGCCGAGAGGGTAGTGAGCAGCTGCAAGTACCGTGCTCGGTTCAATCGGAGATACCCGGTGCGGTACCACTGGAGAAGAAAGACACCGATCGTGTGCATGGCAGCGACGTCGTGCACGCTCGAGCTCTGCGCGAGGACGTCGAACGCGAGGTTGGCGATGCGCCGATGCGCGGCCACAGCGTCGGCCGGGGACTCCTTGTGCGAAATCCACGACGTAAAGCCGATCATGATGACGTGGAAGCGGCTCGGACGGCCAAGGGGTACGATGGCGCGCGGGGCTATCGTGTGCCGCGGGCGGAATCGCTGCGACTTGGTGGTCAGCGTCGTCGTGTGCTTGGAGGTCGTGCCGTGCGATGGCGCTATCGCTGTCGCCGGGAGGAGGTCCATGGTGGGCCCAGCTACGACGCCGCGTCCTCGATCTCTGTCGTCGATGTATCTATGTGTTGTACCTGACGTGGTGGTCACGGTCGATATTTTCACTCGCTTTTTCGACTGGTGCGTTCTACGGTCATGGCGGGAGCCTCGCCGCTCAATGTTGGCGCGGTCCTTGAGCCAAAGGTCATGGCCAATTGGCGCGTCATCGCCAATCGTGAGCACGTCGGCCTTAATAAAGTTCTAGCACATTGGTTCGTGACGACGTCGTGGGCATTCCATGCAGTTGTACCTCAATGTGGCTAAACCAGAGCGTCCGGAGCGCGTAGGCGCGGCAGAGCGGCGTTGCTGTCACCGAG